CCCCGCCGGTCCCCTGCCCTGGCGCCGCCAGCCCGCGGGACTTACCGCTAAGACAAGGTGACCGAGTGTGCCGCCGTGGCGGGGCAGCGCAGCACCTGCCTCTGCCCAGCAGCTCCGGATCTCCCGCCGCGGCTCCTCGCCGCCCCGCCCCCGCGCCCCTTCCCTGCTTGTCGCATGCGCCCCCGGCTGCCCCAAGCGCACCCAGCTCTGGGCTCTTGGAGCTCGGGAGTGGCGGTGCTGGGGCGGAGCCAGGCCCGTCAGCCCGGAACAGGAAGAGTGCGTGGAGACTCCCGCAGCAGCGCCGTGGGGTGGGCGACTGGAGCCCTGGGGAAATGGGTTAGCAGAGCCCAGCTAGGCAGAGTCGGAGACCACAGCCTAGGTCGAGGAGGAGGAGGAGGGGTCCCTTGTAAGTAAGTAGGCTGTAGGAGGTGGGGGCAGCCAGAGCAAAGGCTGTAGTCAACTTTTCCACAGCCAGTGGGGCTGGCCCGTGATCAAGAATGGGCAGGGGACCAATGTCTGACAATGAGAAAGAAACAAAAGATGGGGGCGGGGTGTGCCTAAAGGGCAAGGGAAATGCAACTAGGGACTCGAAAGCCAGAATTTGCCTCTAGGTTCTAGGATGAGATGCCTCTCTTCAGTCCTAAAGGCATCCTCAGACGCCTGTCAGGTTTTCAACTTTATAAAGAACCACCTGACAGACCCAGCATCTGTTCACACCGTGATCTTAGAAACCATGGAGATGAATTCTCAGGTGGAGCCCAGATTCTGAGATCTACCCTAGACCATAGTCAGCTCATGGTACCCCAGTGGCAGGCCGACGGTAGGAGAGCAACTGCAAAGATAGTGAACTGTTTAATGCGACTCTTCCAGACAAAGCCTCTAATTCCCACCAAAAAAACCCTTTCTCTGCTCAGATCTAGTAAAGAAGGTGGGAAAAGATAATTATTGGATTCACCTGTGATTAATTTCAAGTAGGCAGGCTGACCCCAATCCCAGCTCTGTGGACCCGCCCACCCACCTCCAGAATAATACACTAGAGGACAGCACTGGAGCTACAACTGAGGGAGCAGGGTGCATCTGATCAGAGCACAAGGGATCAAACTAAGAGGGAAGGAGAGAGAAAAAGAGAGTGGAACACGTGCTGGCCCACCAAGCCCCGAGGATGATATTTCTCCTCAGAGCAGCCTATGCACAGAGAGGACCATAGGGCTGGCCCCACTATGAGACACGAAGGTCCTCACTGACCCATACCACTACAGGGGACAACACTGGAGACACAGTGTGGGTTTTGTGCCTGATCTCACCCTATCACACCGGGGCGAAACACTAAGGGCATCAGAGCAGCAAGGGGAGCAAAGCAATGAAGTCTCCAAGGAATACCAAAAATAGACTTTGGGGCCAGGGTGTGTCACCCCATGAGACTCCACTGAAAATTACAGACCTGGACCTATTTATAGGTTTTCTTTTTGTTGTTAGTTTTGTTGTTGTTGTTTTCTTTTTATTTGTTTTGTTTTTGTGATTTTTATTGTTTTTGCATATCTATCTGGTTAAGAAAGGTGGGATAAACAATCCAGAGGAGAAAACAATGGGACTGACAGTTCTGGGGGACATGAGAGAGGAGGAGGCAGGGGAAGGAAGGGGGGCATCAACAAACCCAGGGAAAAGAGAACAACAAGTGATCTAAAATCGATGTCAAGGAGGGTATAGAATGCCTGGTGGGGGTGATCTAGTACAATGTAACCAAGAGGAATTACTGAAATCTTAATGAAGGCTGAATAAGATAGTATGACAAGAGGAAACTAAAAGGAAATAGAGAAAAGAACTAGGAGGCAAGGGACATTTATAGAGGTCTAAATACAGACATGTACATGTGTATATATAATTATATATAACAATAGGGAAATAGATCCATGTACATATATTTATATGTTAAGTATTAAGGTAGTGGACAGACATTGGGCCTCTACTCAAGTACTCCCTCAATGCAAGAACACTTTGTTCTAATAACTCAGCATTCTGTAATACTCACCTTCCCAACACAATCGCTGAAGACAAAATGAGTGGAGAATTAAATGAGGTGGAGAAAGCGGATGGTGTCCAACTATCAAAGGATATAGTGTCTGGAGTCTTAAAGGCTTGAAGATAAACAAGCGGGCCATTTAGCTGAGAAACAGCAACAACCACCTGAAAAAGTACACCAGCCTGTGTGATCATGAGGTGTCGATGGGATGAGAGAGATATCAGGCATCAAAGACCCAGATCAAAAAATCATCTCAATGTGAATGAGGGGGCAGCTGGAGTGGAGACCCAAAGCCCATCTG